GGAGGAGGAGGAGGAGGAGGAGGAGGAGGAGAAAAAGCCACTTTCATCCCACCTGTCCTCAGAGGGGGATCCAGCACCACCAACCTGACAGAAAATCTGACTTCCCACCCAAAAAACCCCCAACCCCCTGCACATCCATCGCCAGCACCATGCCAGCCTGAGGAGGGAATTGACCCCAGTGAGGGATGAGCATCACCCCTGGGCCCCAAAGTGACTCTTGGGACATCACCCATCACCTGGATGGGAGCAGAGGATCCTCCTGAGGCTGGATCCCTGTGGATTCCTGCTTTGCACCATCCAACTCCATCCCAGCACGAGAAACGGGACCTGAGCCCGCTCTGGGATCTGCTTCTAGGGCAGCCTTTGAGGTAAAACACACCTGAAACGGGCACAGGGAGCTCCAACCCTGTGACTGAAGCAATAATAAGTCCAGGTATGGCCAAATCCTTGTTCCTTGCTTGTTCCCTGCTTGTCCCTGCCCAGGTTTGGAGCTTTCCAATCACCTTTTCCTGGATTTGCAGAATTTTCAAGGCACTAAAGCGCTGGCGATGGGAGATGTGGGAATGGGGTGGCACTGACGGCACCAGGGCATGGAGGGAGAGGGAGAGAAGCTGCTCGTGCACCCCCATCCCAGTGGGGCCACCAGGATTCCCTGGAGTGGTGAGGCAGGAAAAGCCCTTTGTGGGCTGCAGGCTTGGCTCTCCCATCACACAGAATCCAGCCACTTTTACTCCCTGAGGGTAAAACAAGGGGCTGGGGAAGCTGCTGCCTTTGATCCAAACACTGTCCCAGATTTTCCACCTCTCCACCCTTTGCTCACTCCTGATCCTGCCAGTGAAGCCCCCACTGCCCTTCGTCTCTCCTTCCCCCCAGACGCCGCAGCAAACAGGGAACCAGCGGTGGGACCAGCCCAGAGCTCAATTCCTTCCCCTTCCCACCAACACTTTCCTGGAGAGACAGGTTTTCCTGCAGAGCTGAGTGCTGGAATGGCCCAGGAGGAGTTGCCAGACACCAGAACTCCCTCCACGCCATGGGATGAGACCTGCACCTCCTGCAAACCCTTGGTCTTAGGTCCTGATCCCCCCAAAACAGGCCTGACCCCCTGTTGTGCCTCACCCGGCCCCAAACCCTTAGAATCATAGAATCATCTGGGTTGGAAGGGACCTCCGAGATCATCAAGTCCAACCCTTGATCCACTATGGCCTGGTCACGTCCTGGGTTGGGACTGGGAATGCTGGAAACACCTGTGAACCCAGGGACTGTGCAGGAACAGCTTTGCAGGAGGGAAAGGCGGGTCTGGGGGATGTGTGGGATCCAAACCAGAGGCTGGATGTGACCCCAGCCGCAGACAGGAGTTGGGATGAGCACGAGAACAGAGGGGGAGTGCAGGAGCAGCAACACAAACCAACCCCAGGCCACGAGTGGTCGGTGAGGCCGCAGAGGTGAGGAAGACTTGGGAAAGAGGGAGGGGGAGAAGACAGATCCCATCCATGGAAAAACCCAAACCACTGGACTCCCCTGTCCGTGATGAGATCCCAAGTTTCCTGCTCAGCCTTTGCTTTGGGTTTTGCTGTCCCTGGAAACCTTCCAAGTCTGGGGAAGCCAAACAAAAATCACTTGGACAAACCAACTTGGCTCCAAAGTGGCAAAGTGCGACCTGAGGGGGAGGAGGGCTTGGCTGAGGAGGAACCTGGGAAGGGGAGGAAGACCAAGGGCTGATGCAGCTCCATGGACCATGACAAGATTCCTTCCAAGAGCCTGAACACACGTGAAACCCCTTCCCATTTCCAAACTACTGGCTCCAATCGGCACCTCGGGAAGCACAGAAGGACACACATGGACACATACATGCCCAAGGCCCACCTGGCAGGAAAACAGACCCAATTCCAAGAGTCTCCCAACATGGAGGGTGCGTTCCTAACCTGCCCTATGAACTCCATGAACTATAGAAGCTCCATGAATCCTTTGTTTGCTCTGGCTGGGAAGCAACGGATGCTCCATCACCGCGAGCAGAACATCATCGTGAGGAAGAGGCAGAGACACCATCCCATGCTCCCTCCCCTCGGAACAGGCAACTAATCCACGATTTAAGGCCACCATTATTAAGGTCATCGAGGTCACGTGTGTGGGAGACGATCCCTGGGAAGGGAGGGATGAGTTCGCTCAGGTGTGCGGGATGCCGGATTGGGGGACTCACACGTCGCTGCCTGCTGGGTCCTTCCCTGAATCCCAGAGTGCCCGGTCCCTGTGGATGCCCACCAGCACTGGTTTGCCATAGGGAAGACGGGAGCAGCCCCGTGGCTGCCTGGACAGGCCGTACCTTTCCCAGCACCCGGCGTGGGAGCAGCACCTGAGCACCCGCAGCTCCCGGCGCGGCACCGGTGACCGGGAACACGTGTCCCCTTCTCCCAGCCACATTTACAGCGGTCACACTCCCGTCGTGTCCAAGATCCACCACTGCAATTCGGGAGTGAGGAGACCGACCTCGATCCCTGCAAGCTCAGAGCTCCAGGAGGCTCCTGTGCCAAGGTGCAACGTTTCAGGGAGCGGGAGCAGGGATGAGCAGATGCCTGGGAGCAGCACTGAGTGTCAGAGCCCCCCTGAGCCCCTCTGCTGAAGGCAGGGGGCAGGGAGAGGGGGCTTGGAGCAGGGACTGTGCCGAGGGGATCCCCAGGCACGGAGGTTTAGTGTTACCGTGACGGATCCCTGCCAGCCCACCTTTCCGGGGGCTCCTCAGAGGGGGCTCTGGGAGCTGGGGGGGCTCTGCCCAGTGCCAGCTGAGGGACTGAGGGCACTGTACAGGCTGTGCAGTGGGAAAGCGCCAGAGCTGCCCTTAACTCGGAAAAAAACCCAAAACAACAAAACAAAAAAAAAAAAAAAAAACCCAAAAAAAAGAAACGAAAATCCTCGTGGGCCAGCCCTGGGCAGGACCAGGGCCATGGTCAGTCTGTGCTCGGCTCCGGGCCATCATCTGCCGGCAGACTGGGACTGTGGGGCCATGATGACGTGGGAGGGCAGGCCCAGCTCTGTCCTTTGCCCGGCCATCTGCGTCAGCACCGAGGTGGCCACGGCCTCGGCCGCCGAGCGCACGCTGAGCCCGTTCGGGGCGGCCGACGCGGAGCTGTGCTGGATGACGGGCGCGGGGGAGCCCGTGGGCTCCGAGCTCTCCTTCGGGCTCTCTGCTCCGACGGGGGAGGAGGGGAGGGGAAGAAGAAAATAAAGTTAGAGAGAGGCTACGGGGGAGGGAGGTGTGGGTTGAACGCTCACCTTTCCAGCCTGGAGCAGAGAGAGGATGATTCCTGTGGAATCCCAGCTCCCCCCACCAGGCCAGGCACGCCCCTCGAGGCCCCCAGCCCACCCCAAGCAGCTGTTTGGCAAAAGCTGCCAAGCACTGGAAACAAAAACTGATTCAAGGACTGGAAATGAAACTGCTTTGAGCTGGGATCTAACGACCCTGCCCAGGTCCTGCTGGCCCCAGTCCCTTGGAGAAGCACCATGGAATCCTCCTGAATTCCAGCCAGGAAGCCACAAAGTGCAGGCTGGACCTCGAGGAGGGTGGCACTGGCATTACCTTCATCCTAATCAATGTTTTTCCTCGTTACAAGGAATTAACTTCCCCTCATGACACCTCCTCTTCTCCAGGCCACTGAGCCCCGAGACCAGCTGGGTGGGCACAGGAGGAGGTGAAACACAATCCCTTTGGCAGAGCCAAGGGCTGGGCTCTTCGGGGCATTTTTGATATAAATTACCTGGTTTGCTCTTAATTGTTCTCCAGGACATTAAAATCAACCAGAGTCCCTTTGTTTGCCCCATTTCTTTTGGTAGCTTTGAAGCAACGTGACTGAGGGGACAGAGCCCTTCTTCCCTGCTCTGTTCAGCTTCCAGGACTTTGGATTCTCTCCCCCAAGGAGCCCCCACAGCTCCTCACCCAGAGGATAATTTGTGAGCTACCAAACCCCATGGCAAGGGCAGTCAGAGCTCTCTTTGGGGTACACACTCATTATCCACAGATGCCAGGAAGAAATTCCTTCCTGAGCACTTGGGCAGATGAATTATAGGTGGGATGGGGTCACTTTCCTTTGAAAAAGCCAAATTAAGGCAGGAACTGGGATACTTCTTCCACACCAAGACAGTGAAACCCTTGACACTGGGGGGAAAAAATCAGGGAAGGGGTTTATAACCTCACTGGGCACCAGAAAATGGACTCTGGGGCTCAGTTTTCCATCAGGTGCTTGGACATCATTCCCCTTTCCCAGATGGTTTCTACCTTCCCTTGGGAAACCTCGGCCTGGGTGAAAGCCATGGTAGCACAGCAGGTTGGAGAACGGGCTTGGAGAAGGCTGAGCAGAGCAATGTAATCATCTGGCATCCCCAAAATCAGGAGATTTACAAGATATTAAAAATAAACCACCCAAGTGTACAGGAGGCAGCTGCCATTCCATCAGGGAATCTGGGGCTTTGTTACAGGACCAGCCACAAATCTCAGCAATAAAAAGGGCAGAGGGGAGGGGGGCACAGGGGAGGGGGCGAATCTCATTTTTAGTATTCAGATGTGTCATGAATTCCTGTTATTGCAGTGGGCAGACTTGTGAGGAATAGTAATAGGAATTGTAAAATCTGGAATTTAACAGGGGGGGGTTGGAAATGAGGTCTCCTGCCTGGGTTCTGCAGGACTGGGACACGGGGACAGCCACGACCACATCACTCAGGCCCTGAGTCACTGCAGTGAGTGACAATGAATGGGCTGGGCCAGACCCTTCCAGGACAACATTCCCAGAGAGGGGATCAAGGGCCATCCCCCAAGGACATTGGCTTTTTGTAATTTATATTTTTGCTTCCTTGGCTTTTTCTGTTCCCCCTTCCCTTCTCTCCTCTCATCCATCCCTGCCTCTCCTCCCATTTTTCCAGGCAACACTAGAGGACTCCAGCGTCCTCCCAAAGCCTCACAGCACCACAGCCTGGAATTGGTACTGCAGGCAGGGCAGAAGGACCCAGGATCCTCGTGTTTAGCTCCTGGGTTGATTATAATGAAATAGGCAGCATTTAAAAAAAAAAAAAAAAGAAAGAAAGAAAGAAAAGAAGATAAAAAAGGAGGCTTTTCTGCTTCCAAACTGAGCCAGTTTGATGGGAATTGCAGAGAATGAGCTATGGAGCCCTATGATGTCATTTATATAGTCTGGCCTTTCCTGACTCTGCCTTTGCTTTGGAGCAGCAAGAGTTTTTAACTTCAAAGAGAATATCAAGTGCTTGGCACGTTGCCAGGAGCAGGGAGAGACTCCAGGGAGAAGCAGACACGTGGATCTCTGTCCAGCATCCCACACCAGAGAGGCAGAGGGAGGCACACACCTCCTTCCCTCAAAAGATCTCGTGCACCAGTTAAAGTGCCAATTCGGGGGCTCCTCCTCAGCGTGGGGGCTGCACCCGCAGAAGATGCCCCAAGGCACATGTGGGATTCTTGGGGTGTCCTGTGCAGGGCCAGGAGTTGGACTGGATAAGCCTCGTGGGCCCCTCCCAACCCAGGGTGTTCTATATTCTCCATGCCATGTGCCGTGTGCTGCATTCTGTGTTTCTGTGACACAGCTCTGCCCTCTCACTGCAGTGACTGGAAGCTGATGGGGCACAGACTGAGAGGAGAACTCCCTCCCTTCCTTTACAGCTCATAATCCTGACCTGCTCAGACCCACTCAAAGGTTACAGGGACCAGCAGAAGCCCATCACTCACCCAGGTAGCCCTGTGTCTTCTTCTGCAGCGCCGTGACAGGACAGTCCTTGTGGGCCAGCAGCAGCTGCTTGAGCTGAGCCACCTCGTTCCTCAGCAGCGTCACTTCATTCTGAAGGGGACAAACACACATGGGCATCACTCACAGCAGCCCCAGCAGCACCAGGATGTTCAAGGGTGAACCCTGCAAACTAATCTGAGATACCTCCAGCCCTAGAACACCTGGCAAAGTTCCTGGATTTGAGGAATTTAGGACATGGGCTGCAGTGCTTCCCTGCCACCAGCTGCAGAGCCCTTGCTACAGTCACCTAACCCTGGGCAGAGCTTTTCCTGAGCCCTCCTGCCAATGTCACCTGCCTGAGGGACACTCTGGAGTGCTGCTGGCTCTGGTGGGACACGTGGGAATGTACAACCAGCCCAGCCCAGGCCAGGCCATGGGGGGACACTGCAGTTTCTCCACGCTCTCAGTACCTCTGTGAGCTCCTGTGAGCCAGGTCTGCTCCCCAAAAACCTGTACAGCAGATTATTCCACTGCCCAAAGAAATAGTTTCTATAATTGTCTTGGGAAGAGAATAAAAACACCACGGTCAGAGCTCCAGTAAAGATCCCAGTGCCCAAGTCACTGGCCCAGAACGGAGCCAAGCTCAGTCCTCACCTCACCCTCAGCCAGTGCTGAGAGCCCTAACAGGGCTTGTGGCACTGGGAGTGAAATCTGTATTTTCAGGTGTGCTGCACCTCTGCTTGGCATGCCAGGGTGCTGCCAAGAGCCAGGGAAAACCAGTTCTCCAGAGAAAAATCAGTCTGCAGAGCCTCCCTGCTTCCCCCTGCTGGGTCCAGTGTTCAGGGAATGGAGCTGGCAGAGCTCTCCCTCACTCAGGGAAATTCCACTCTGGGAAAAACAGCTGCTTCCCGAGGCTCCATGTGCTGCCTGCAAGGTTGGCAGCCAGAGGGCAGAGCCTTTCCAGGGGCAACGGGGAGAAAAAAATGAGCCCTGAGGTGCTCTTCCCCCAAGGGCTGCTTTTCAACCCATCAGGATGGAAAGCCAGGAGAGAAACCTGGTCAGGGAGGCAACAATCCTGCTCCAGAGAGAGCAGCACCCGAGCGCACGTGGGCTCTGCGGCACGGGGCGGACGTTCCCTCCGGAGCGACATTCCCTCGGGAGCGACGTTCCCAACGCCGGCCAAGGGCTGCTCTCGGCCCCGGTTACATACTCACGCTCAGCTGGATGTTCTGGGTGGTGAGTTCCTCGGCTTTCTTCTCCAGGGAGGACACCCAGAGCTTGCGTTTCTGCCGGCAGCGGGAGGCGGCCGCCCGGTTCCGCTCCAGGAACCGCTGCCGGCGCTCGTCCGGATCCTCGTCCACCGTGCGCTTGCGGCGCCCGCCCGTGCTGGGGGTGGGCTGGGCAGGGGACACCTGGGGATGGGGCAGGTGGGAGACACTGAACAGCAGCTCCGGGGCAGGCAGAACACAGCGGTGTCACCACAGCTCGGCTGGGAGAGCTCAGTCCCGCTCGATCCCGTTGCCGTACCCGCCAAGGTGCCATCTCTTGTTTGGGGTCAGGGAGTGTCACGGAGCAAATGGCAGTTTCTGAGTGGGCAATCTGCTTAAAAAGTTGATTCGGGTGAACTTTCCCCCAGTATCTTCAGCTAAACAAGCTCTTGGAGGTAAATGGTACCAAAGGATTTTGTAAAGCCGCACGTTCCCCAGTTTTATTTTGGGAGAACAAAGGAAAAGCCAGCGAGGGCTGATGGTGCAGCAGCCCCGACTGCAAGGGGCAATTACACCCGGGGAGTGCAGCCACACTCCAGCACTCGCTGTTGGGCAGCATATGGATATTAAAACTTCTGGAAGCCCATCCAAGTGACGGAGCAGGTGGCGATCCTGATGGAAGGCTGGCATTTGGCTGGCTGGCAGGAGCCAGTGGAGCTGATTGCCTGAGAGGGGAGCGTTTAACCCCAGTAATTGAGCAGGGAGAAGAGAGGGAAATATTCTTTCCAAACTCCAGACCTCGTCAGGCAAATGAAAGCGGTGCTGGAGCTTCTGCCTGGTGGGCTGTGAGCGGTATTGGAAAAACAGGGCTTTAACCCATTCTGCAAGGGAGGGAGCTGCGGTTTTCCTCCTCTTTCCCCAAGCCCAGGAACCCCCCAGCACCTCCAGCCCTGCCTCGTGGGGCAGCAGCAGCAGCAGACCTGTGGCTGAGCCGGGGAAGGGGCGTCGGGGTGCTGGACAAGGATCTGGCTCTGCTCCGGACGCGCCGTCACCATCGTGCTGGCTGAGCCCACCACCAGGTTGCTGCCGTTGAGCGAGGAGGAGGCCGTCAGGCTGGCCTTCAGCCTCTGTGGAAGGAGGAGAAGGGACATCAGGGGACCTGCTCTCCGTGCTGCCAAGGCTCTGAGCAGCTCCTGTCACCCAAGGAGCCACTCTGCCTGGAACAGGCTCTTCAGAGGCTGCGGCTGACTCGAGTCCAACCTAAAGTCATCACCATCTGGTCTGCCCGAAGAGAGAGCAGTGTCCAACCCAACAGACAGGTGTCACATCCCAAAATTGCTACTGCCACTGGCACCAAACCCCTCCCCAGCTGGCAGGCTCCATGGAAAGTCCAGGGACTGAACAGGCTGCAGAGCCCAACTGTTCCTGAGCACACACAGAGGGGTCCTAAGGGATGGAGAAGGATCCACACGTGGTTTGCAAGTCCTTTCTCTGGGCAGCCAGGCCAGCACGGCTGTTTTGTGCCTCAGTTTATGATCTCTCTCCCCACCTGAGGCTCTGATCTGCCCCTGAGTCCTGCAGACCCTAGAATAGGAGTGGGGACAATATGCTGGCAACTGTGAGCAGCACTGCTGGGAGAGGTGGGTGTGCAAACACCTGCCCAGCCCAAAAAATGGGGGCTTCAGAGAATCGTGGAATCACTGAGGCTGGAAAATCCCTCTGAGATCATTTGAGTCCTGGCACTGCTGAGCCATGTCCCCAAGTGCCACATCCATCAGCTTTGCTTCCCCTGTGCCACATCCATCAGCTTGGCTTCCCCCCTGTGCACACCCGGCCTGAGCTGTGAGGAGCCACGAGAGGAAAGTTCCTCTTGTAAAGTCTTAGTTAACAGGTTTGACATGAAAACCATGATCAGGATCTCCTGAATTACAGCCCAAACCTCTCCTCCTGTGGCTCTGCCTTCCTCAATCCCACCTCCATCCCATCTGCCATCCTGGAACCAGAGCTCCAGTTTTACCATCAGCCGCCCCCAGGCTGGGGACAGGGTTTGTCCTGACACTCACAGCCTCCTGTGCTGCCAGCGCCGAGCACTGAGTGCTCCAATGTTCCTGGTGGCACTTCCACCACCTGTGCTGGGAGCAGGAATTGCTCTGATGGCTACACAGGATTCCAGAGGAATCTTCATGAAGGCTGGGGGGGAAAAGCCTCCAGCCGGGAGTTGCTTGTGGAGGTGGTGGTGAAGGCTGAGGGACAAGGACAACACCGTGACCGTGACCCCCTCCCCAACACTCACCATTTTGGCTTCAGAGTGCACTGGGAGTCCTGACGGGGAAATGGACCCGCTGCTGTTGATGGGAGGCCCAGGAATACCGGGAATGTTCGGCACCATGGACATCGGCCGAGCCAGCTGTGGGGGAGGGAGGGACACGTGGGTTGGGAAGTTGGAGGTGCTTTGGCTCCGTGGAGCAGCTCTGCAGTAACTCCCTGACCAAGCACATCCATAAATCCTGACAAACGTTTAACTGCGGCCATCCGTTATTCCTGCTGTCACTGAGGGCCACCAGCCACGTTGGTGGCCACGGAGGCTGTTCCAGAATCACCCAAACAAACCAGCCCAGCACGGAGCACAAGGAGGGGGGCAGCTCCTTCCCTTCCCTTCCCTGCCAGTGGGCTCTCCCCCACCAGTACGTGCCATGGATGAGAGGGAGGGTCCTGGATCCCCCCTGGTTCTATTGCAAAGTTGCTACAGCACCCACAAAAGGGGATCGTCCCCTCCTGAGCTTTCTCCCTCAGCAAAGGGAGGGAAAACCAGAATTTGGTCATGTTTATAAGCCCCATGGGTGGCAAAGCACTGCAAATAGGGAGGGAAGGGGTGAGGATGTTCCCATGCCCACAGGCCATGAGTAGAGGTGCACCTGAGGCAGACGGTTTTAGCCCTTGTGCACTCAAAGCCCCAAGGACATGCCCAGCAGGACAGACACGATTCCCAGGGCTGGGGATCAGGAGCTGGAGAGCTCGGAGGACACACTCAACCCCCCCCAGGCAGATCTGCAGTCACTCTGCCCCACAGAAAACTCTCTGTGTGCAGAAGCCCAAGCTGAGACTGGTCTGGCCATTCCCCTGGCCAGCACACACCAACATGTTCCCTGCAAGCTCCGGTGGTTTCAGTGCAGGCACACTGTTCCAAATGGAAGCAGCTAATCAGGGATCCTGCAGCTCCCAGCCCCGGATCGATGGCGTGAGCCATCTGTCCGGGCACGGATTTGCTTTTTTCCCCAAACTTATTGCCCTCTAGTGTGATCCACACGTTATTGCTGCCCTGCCAGAGCTGCTCCCTCCTCCCCTTCCTCCTCCTCCTCCGGTCTTATCTCGCACAGAGGGGGAGAGGGATTTTAATGTTTATGAAATGGAAGTGTCTGTGTGTGTTTGGCAGGGGAAAGGCCCGTCCCCTCCTCCACACGGGGCTGTGCTGGAAGCTTCTCTCACCGATATGACAGAAGGCATCTGGACGGGGGGGCCGGGGAGCACGGGCACGGTCTGGCCGTTCGCAAGCTGCACGACGAGTGGGAGGGAACCTGTGGGAGACCTGCAGAAACAAGAACCGGAGTTCTCACAGATTATTCCAGGTTTATGACGTCCCAGTGGCCCCGGGAAGCTCAGGGGCAGCAGCGCGAGCGAATCCAGTTGGTGGATTTGGGCTCATTTCCCCATTTCTGAGTGGTTTGTTCTGAAGGGGAGGGTGCAGAGCTCAGCTGGGGGGGTGTGAGGGTAACTCGGCCTCCTGCACACTCATGGCAGGGCAGGAGATGTGCTGGTGTCACACTGAGGTGACCAGGGCTGGCAGTGATGCCCAATGGCCCTGCACACTC